AAAAAAAAAAAAAGGAAAAAAAAAGGAAAAATCCTTTCATGACTTGAAGGATGAACTCCATAGAAAGACTGACACCCTAAAAAAAAAATAAGACAGATCTTCTTTTTTATTTAAGAACAATTTCTGATGAATTTATTTTTTCTTTATTTTAGTTTTTTTGTCATAAGGTGTATACCCTTTCTGGAGAGAAAAAGAGGGAGGGAAAGGGAGAAATCACCCCCCAGGGGGATGTCCACACTGCAATCCCTTCTCCTCCACTCACCCCTTGGGATCTTGGGCACTCATGCACACACACCCTGTGTGAGTTTTAAGCCACTGGGTCTGGGACTCAAACTGCGGTCAACTACATGGGAGTTCAGCAACATGGCCATTACACTCACTGCTGGTCCCAAAACAGAACTTCTGAAGGTAAAGAATATGATGCAAGAAATCGAAAACTCCCTCAATAGTATCAACAACAGATTAGAACATGGAGAATGTAGATTCACTGACCTTAAAAATAAGACCGCCAAATTAGTATATGGTACCAAATAGAACAGAAGAATAACTATGAAAAATTAGGACTACATGGGGGAAATCCCAGACACCATTAAATGAAGAAAAAGTTACATCATATGTATCCCAGAATCTGAAGAGTCAGATAAAGACATAGAAAAATCTTTCATGATATAGTATCTGAAACCATTCAAATTTAGAGGCATACAGACTTCCAAATTCAGTCAATACAAAGGATGACAAATAGATGTAAGATCATCTCTAAGGAATAATAGTGTCAAATTGGTAAAAATCAAAGACAAAGACAATATTTTAAAAATGGCAAAAGAGAAATACTAGGTTATATACAAAGGTTACCCAATTACACTAACATCAGACCTCTTATTTATTTATTTAATTTTTGAAAGAGATTTTTGCTATAGGACGTGTGCACTTGCCAGACAGAGAGAGGCAGGGAGACAGAAAGTGTCTCATCTCCCCAGAGGAGATGGCCTTGCCACAATTCCTTCTCCATTATCTTGGGATCTTGGAAATCACACGCCCTGGCCCATTCTCTTCTCCGGATTCTGGACATGGATACGCCCACGGTCAACTATATGGGAGTCCAGCAACATAACCATTTCGCCATCTACTGGTTCCCAATGTTGGACCTCTTAACTGAAATAATGCAGTCAAGGAAAGAATAGGGAGACATTTTTTAAACTCTGAAAGAAAAACTATTTCAACCAAGAGTACTATACCTGGTAAGATTATTCATCAAATGGGAAGGAAAAATAAAATCATTCCCAGATAAACAAATACCGAATGAATTCACTGAAACTAAGACAACCTTCAGGAAATACTACACCAGGAAAACTAAAGGGAGATAAATAGTAGTAAGAGAATACAAAAGAATTAGAGAGAAAAAGAGTAGTGAAAGGACAGGGATAAATTATCACATACTAAAAATAACATTGAGTGTCAGGATTAAATTTCCCAACTAAAAGGCAAAAAATTCAGATTCAACTATTTCACACACAAGTGGGTTTAGTACAAATTCATCAAATCTTGTCTCCACAAGATTTCATATTTCACTTACATATTTAGAGAAAAAGTCCAAAATGTTAAAAGTAGCTGAGTCTTCCACAAAAAAAATAATGATAAGTGGTAGAAAGGATGTGGTGAAAGGGGGACACTCCTACACTATTGGTGGGGACTTAAATCAGTCCAGCCACTGTGAAGAATAATATGGAGATTCCTTAAAGACCTTCAAATAGAACTACCATATGATCCAGCAATTCCACTCCTGGGCATCTACCAAAAAGACTCAGTCTGAAAACCACTTGCACAACTATTTTCATTGCAGCATTATTCACAATTTTTAAGACATAGAACCAACCCAAATGTCCACAAACAGATGAATGGATTGAAAAATTGTGGCACATATACTCCATGGAATGATATTCATCCATAAAACAGAAAAACAAGGCCCTGGAATTTGATAGAAAGTGGACAGATATGGAAGATTGTTTGCTGACTGAAGCAAGTCAAGCTATGAAAGACAAACATTGTATGTCTCCACTTAACATATACCAACACTCCACACTCTATGGGAGAGACTGAAAGACTGGGGAACATAAAAGTATTAAAAATTGTAATGGACACTATAGACAAAGTGGAAGAGATTGTGGGAGGGGAAGAGCATAAGAAAGAAAATCTCAGGGGGAATGGAGAGGTAAGACACTTGTGGAACACAAATAAGACTTATCTGTTGACAAGGATGTGTATGGTGGTCTCAACTAGGCTGGACTAAGGTATATATCATGCTGGATAAAGTCTCTTCACAATCTAAATGATGTATGGTGATTGAATGTACAAATAATAATAAAAAAATAAATTTTAAAAAAGAAAATTAAAATATCTTCTTTCATTGGCGATGTTATCTCTTATAAAAAAATCTATCCTCACTAACTTATGAGACTTGTTGTCTGATTTTTTAATCATTTTGTTTTTCTTTAGAACTATATTTCATAGTAAAGAACATCATATATATCCAATGTATATTTATAAAATAATCAGTTGCAAATTTCAAATGTTAATGACACAATGTAATGTTAAGTGTTGAAGGTGGTGAATATGTTTATATTTTCAATTTAGTTATTACACACTATATACATACTTAAAAACATACTGTCCCCTATAGAGATGTATAATGATTTTATATAATCACAAATTACAATAAATATTGAAAAATAACTTAATAAATAAAAGAAAGTGGGAGTGATGGTGTCCAGTCAGTGGCTGGACAACATTCACAGGGAATCAGCACAAAGAGCCATCTGACTGGGATCAATAGTATTACAGCCATTCCAGGAACAAAATACAGAGTGTGTAAATTTTGCAGCAAAATTTGAGCTGCCATCTTCTCAGTGTACTCCTCCCCATGGAAAGATGACCATGTTCTGGCATCCCGATATGGCATTATTGAATACCTTGCTGATAAAGAACTAAAATCACATGAAGAGAATGGAAGAGAAGGGATTTCATCATGGCCATCCCCTCTAGGGGTGATTTCTCATCTCCCTTCTCTCTCTTTTTGTCTCTCTCTGGCAAGTGCATTCCCTATAGCAAAAACTTGTAAAAAATAAAATAAAAAAAATTATAATGTCAAGTTCTTAACTAGTCCTCAGCAGGTATGTCTTAAATAATCAAGAACACCATTAAAAATATCTATCACAGGCCACCTAAAGAGGAACAGCAGCAACCCAATTCTTTACGATGGTAAAGTCATATAGCAAGCTCCCAAGTTCACAACCCAAGATTGCCCTGTACATACCAGACACACATATGCCCATGTCCTGTCTGATTTAGTCTGAGGGTAGGTAGTTGCAAAACTGTGTTAGGGAGTGCATCTCTTTCTTCTCTGTCTGTTTCTCTCTTTCTCTGAAGAAATAAAAATAAACTTAAAATAAATATCCCACTTTCATACCTCTCTTTCACGTAGTTGGCCTCCCTGGAGTTCTTCACTATTACCTGCTCCAAAACATGAACCTTGAGTTGGAAAAGAGAAAAATGTTTGTGTGGAGTCAGGACCAACTGGGCACAGAAGAAAGAAAAGCCTTCTGAAAACAAAACAAAACAAAATAACACAAAACAAAAAACATCAAACAAAATATGTTTAGA